TAAAATAAGGCTGAGAGAGAGCTAGTGGAGTCATTCAAGGTTATATGAGAGAGAGGAGATGGAAACCTACACCCTCACATCTGGTCTGAAACCATTTCTACTCTTAGGAAAGAGAGCAGTGTGGTCTAGGGGCAGGAGGGTCCAGCAGCTGGCAGTCATAGGAGGGAGGAGGAGTAGGGACTCAGGTCAGGTGCATTCCAGGAGGGCAGGATGGCAGAGGCCCTCGGAGGTTGGAGCTGTCTCCACCATTCTGCCTGGGCTGCATAGCAGGTACTCGCTCCATCTCAGGCATGAATGCATGGAAATTCTTGATCTGTGCTAATAGGAGGCTATGGGTTCAGGATAGGGATCAAGAACTCAGACAGAAAAAGCAGACTGCAGGTTGGGGAGCAGCTTCCTTGGTCCCAGGATCTCAGCAGGGGATTTCTCAGGAGCTTGGCCAGTGCCAAGAGCACTGGGGGGTGGCTTTGGAGAAATTGATTGATGCTAAGTAGTGCTGGTGCCCAGAAGAAAGGGGAGGCGTGGTGATGTGCTGCGGTGTGAGTGGACGAGCAGGTCTCTGATAGCTTGTCTGAGTGTCAGGTGCCCAGTGTCTAAGCTGCACATCTGTTAGCAGAACTCCTGAGTCCTCCCCTGAAGCACACTCCAGGAAGCCCCTAGTACTTCCTCTTCTTGCTGCCCTGTGCTGGTCCCTGGGGAGATGGAAGATAATCAGGCCATCCCAGGCAGGGAGACAGGCGTGTCAACAGTGCACACGCACAGTGTGCTCAGGTAAGGTCAGGGCTGTTTAAGGCTGGGAAGACCTCTAATCAACCTAGGGCTCAGGAGAGGTCTGAAGGAGAGGGCATCTGAGCCATGGTACGAAGGATCAGGAGGAGTTAACTAGACAAAGGACAGCAGGTCTGGAGAGGCCAGATCGGCAGGGCCCAGACCTGGCCATTGGGCTGATAAATGGGCTGTCAATGGGGAGAGCTTGGAGTAGAGGGGTCAGCATGCAGGGAGGCCAGGAAGAGGAGCCCTGGGCCAGGGAAGTGGCCAAAGGCATGGCCAAAAGAGGGCCCTGAGGGATGTTAGAAGCAGGTTGGGGTGGTGAGGAGTTCAGTGTGGTGGAGATGGGTCTGCAGGGCCTGAATGACGCCCTCCCCCTCCAGCCCAGAGAAGGCAAGGCGCCACTGGCTATAACCATCAGAGCAGAGACTGGTGGCCTTGGTGGTGCCTGGTAATTGAAGCCGTGGGAGTGGATGATAAGTCCCATGCAGGGGAAAGAGAAGAGGTCTGCCTGTGGAGGAGCCCAGCCCAACAGGCACATAGGAATAACACTTGCCTGGGGAAGAGGGGAGGCCCAGAGCCAGAATTGGTGGAGTTCTGTGTTGTGTGTACTTTCATGTCCTTTTCTAATAGAAGTGGAATTTCCGTTCCTGGGTGGGGTGTGATAAGGTGACTGGAAAGGGGTGGCAGAGGACAGGTGGGCATCAGTGCCAGGATCAGGAAGCCCTGGGAAAGGAATGTGAAGGCCCAGAGCCTGGCTGGGCTCCCATCCACCTGCTGAGCATTGGTCTTGACAGTGAGGTGCCCTCCTCCACTGCACCCCAGACACATTCTCCCATAGGATCCAAGGCAAAGGCTCCCACCCCCATTTATAGATTCAGAGAGAGAGGGAGGCCCTGGAGAGAGCCCACAGAGCAAGTTAGGGACGATGGTGGGATGAATCTAGGCTTCTTTCTACATTTCAGCTGCCTCTTCCCTGCTCTGCTGTGCTGGTATGAGAGTAGAGGCCCTAATCTTAGGAGTGTATAAGGCAAGCTCTGACTCCCTGGCTGTGGGCTGTGGCTTCCACCCTTTCTGGAAGGCTGAGAATTCGGGAATTCATATGAAAGTAACACAGTTTCCCCACCTACTGGAAAGCAAACTGACAAGGAGTGGGAGGTAGGTGAGGCCTTGAGGTGGACGCAGTGAATGGATCTGATGGCAGTGTGCCCCTGCGATGCAGGCCTGGCACTTAGAGAGTTGTATCTAGGACTCATCTTATGGTCTCCATGCGGTGCCACCTTGAGGAGCATTCCTGAGCCTCTCTGCACCCTGCTGAGTGCCCATAGCCTTCCTCACCTCCATCCACCACCCAGTTCATGAGTCTCGAAATGCTCCCTCACTCTGAAGGGCCAGGCAGGAAGCATTTTGGGCCCTGCAGGCCATATGGTCCCTGTGGCAACCACACAACTCTGCAGTTACACTTAAAGCAGCCAGACAATACATAAATGACTGTGGCTATGTCCAATGAAGCTTTATTTATGGACACTGAAATTTGGCTTGCATATAATTTTCACATGTCACAAGATATTCTTGTTCTGATTTTGTTTTCCAACTGTTTAAAAATATAAAATCCCTTCTTAGCTTTCAAACTGTACAAAAATAGATAGCAGGTCAGATTTGATGAACCTGTGGGTTTGAGTTTGCCAAGCCCTGGGTTAGAGCAAGGGCCCTGGAGCCAGACAGCCTGAGTGTGAATTCTGGCTCTGCTGTGTGACCTTTGTAAGTGGCTAAGTCTCTCTCTGCTTCAGATTTCTCATCTGCTAAACGGGGATGGTGATGATAAAGCTTTGGGAATGGAAATGGTGCTGCCCAAAATGTCAGTCATATGACCCAGCAAATCTACTCCAAGAAAAATGAAAACATATGTCTACACAAAAATGCATTCATAGCAGCTTTATTCATAACAACCCAAAATATCCATCAACTGATGAACGATGAACAAAATGTGGACTATCCAGACAATGGGGATCACTCAGTTATAAAAAGAAATGAAGCTACAACACAGATGAAACTTGAAAACATTATGCTAAGTGAAAAAAGCAACACACAGGCTGGGTGTTGTGGTACACACCCCAGCTACTCAGGAGGCAGAGATGGAGAGGGTTGTGGTTCAAGGCCAGCCAGGGAAAAAAGTTCATGAAACCTCATCTCTTCCAACAAGCCAAGTATAATAGAGAGCACCTATGGTTCCAGCTACTGGAGGCATAGTTAGGAGGACTGCAGTCCAATGCCAGGCCTAGGCAAAAAGCAGGAGGCCCTATGCAAAGACTAATAAAGCAAAAAAGAACTGGTTGTATGGCTCAGGCGGTAGAGTACCTGTGTAGTAAGCTCAAGGCCTTGAGTTCAAACCTCAGTACCACCAAAAACAAAACAAACAAAAAAGGAACAACACACAAAGGGCCACATATTATATGAAGTCTCTAGAGTAAAGAAATCTATAGAATCATGAAGTGGCTTTGTGGTTGCCAGGGCCCAGGGGCTCGCATAAATGGGTGTGTGACTGCTAGTGGGTCTAGAGGAGTTCTTGGGATGACAGAAATGTGAAATTATTCGTAGGGATTAGGAATAGATACAACTTTGCGAATATGCTAAAAAAATGAATATATTAAACATGGGATTGCACATGTAAAACTTTCCATTTGATGCTATGCAAATTATATCTGAATAGAAAAATAATGGTGCCACTTCCCTCCCAGTTACGCTGATAGCTCGAGTGCACAGGAAGCACTTGGAACAGTGCCTGGCGGTTCCCTCGCTGGTCCGGGGAGAGCACTGGGAGGCCACTGTATCTGTCCTGTTTCCATTGTCTCAGGCCCAGGACAGAGCCTGGCTCAGCACATGTGGGTTTGAGGTTTGGATGCCCACAGAGCAGGGCTGATTTCCTCATCTACCTCACAGTGGGGCTGAGGATCAGATGGAGCCTTCTGCACTTTCCCCTGGTCACACCTGTCCAGCACTGCCTCCAGCAGTCCGCATTCCCTAAGGGGATCTCCAGGGTGTCAAGCAGGGCTGGGCAGCAGTGGTTCCACCTTCAAGATGCCTCCAGTTGATCTATCAGCCACCGTCAGGCCCCACCAGGTTGCGGCCTGGAGAAGAAGAAATACTTTGGGGCACTAGAGCAGATTCCCAGGTCTGCCACAGCCAGCAGTGGGGCAGCAGGTCACTTTCTCTCTCTCGGCCTCAGTTTGTTCCAATGGGTTTAGGATATAGTACCTGGCACTGCAGGTGGCTGTGCTGATGAGACGGAGCAATGAAGTAAAGCTTCACACAGTGCTTGCTATATTTTAAGCACTCAGTGGTTGTCAGCTTTTATGATAATGCATTTTTAAATGTTTATTTTGAAAGCCTACTACCACATTGGGCTCTGTTTCAGTTATGGAGATACAGTAGAGAATAAAAAGTCAAAAAAAATCCTTGTTTCATGAAACATAATGAGGTAGGCAGACAAACAAAACAGGCAAGTGAATCATATTTAAGAAATGACTAAGAAAATAAAACAGAGAATATGGGGAAGTTTACAGAATGTGGAAAGGGGTTCCGGTTTTGCAGTAGATCATCTGAGAAAGCCTTATTGGTCAGGCATGGTGATACCTACCTGTAATCCAAGCACCCAGGAGACCCAGGCAGGGAGAATCAAGAGTTCAAGGTCAGGGCTGGAGTCATGGCTCTAATGTTCTAATGGTAGAGTGTGCCTGCCTCACAAGCACAAGGCCCTGAGTTCAAACCCCGGTATTGCAAGAGTGAGTGAGAAAAAGGGGGTGGTGGGGGGGTGAGGGGAAAAGTCTCATTGAAAAAAGGATATTTGAGCAAAGACATGACGAGAGGAGGGAAAGAGGGAGCCATGCAGGTCCCTAAGGGAAGAGAATTTCAGGCAGAGGCAACAGCAGCATGCTGGGTAAGTGTGATGAACGTGAAAGAGGTCAGTATGTCCGGAGGGAAAGAGTAGGGAGGATGAAGCCATGAGTGATTGGCAGGGGACAGGTCCTGGGCCTGCAAGGGTGGCCCTCACTCCAGGTAGGACAGGACCCACTTTAGGACTTTGAGCAGAGGCTGGCACACACTGACCTAGGCTACAATAACTTTTGCAGCACAAGGCTGGACTCCTTACCCTTCCCTCTGGCTCACAGCTCTGTGTGTCTTCCTGCAGGACCAGCCAGAGGCCTCCATGGGCGCTTGAGGGCCGGGCGCCAGGGCCGCGGGCACGAGCATGGTGAGACACCAGCCGCTACAGTACTATGAGCCCCAGCTGTGCCTCTCCTGCCTCACGGGCATCTACGGCTGCCGCTGGAAACGCTACCAGCGCTCTCATGATGACACCACGCCGGTGAGCTGCTCTGGGATAGAGTCAGAGGGACCCCAAGAGCCCAGCAAGTCCGAGGGCCGGGGAGGTCAGGGGTCTGCAACCTCTCTACTGTGTGGTTCTGGGCCAGTGGATGGCCTTTCTGGGTTTCAGGAAAATGAATCCATAGTAATTCCTGGAGATACCTGACCAGGGGGGCAGGGAAGGAGCTCATCCTGCCATGATGTGGCTAGTTGTTAGTTGTCCTCTGACAGCATGGGGCTGAGCTGCTCGAGACCAAGGCAGAAAGGAGCGATCCAGGATGGAAGCATCAATGGAAGGGGAACACAAGTTTTCAGTTTCCTGGCAGAACTGGAAGGCTAGGCAGGCAGGCAGGTGGTAGCAGGGGGTTGAGGAGGTGGACCCGGCCATCCTGAAGCCTGGGAGCTGGCAGGCCCAGGACCTGGCACCAGGGCCCAGTCACCTGAGCTGCTGCTCTGCCAGAGCTGGCAATAGGTGGTGAGCCGGTTAAAGAAGGCCTCCTCGCTGCCGGTACCCCAGCCAGACCTGAGCCACACTCCTGTCCCCGAGGCGCTGTAGGCCGGTGGATCTAGTTTCTTCTCTGAAGGAACTCAATTCCCATATGGTGTTTATCTAAAGGCTTTGCTGCTTGGAGAACAACTTTCCTCCTCCCTCCTGCTTGTCTCAACAAAAAGCCAGTCTCCGAATTCAGCCAGCCCCCAAACAGGCTGGCGTGGCCAAGGAAGGTGCTGCTGAGGTTGGAGGCTAAGTAGGCCAGACTGGCTGGACGGGGAGATCAGGAGCCTTGTCCACCTGTCTGCCCTGTTCTGCCTATGCTGCATAGGGCAGACTGCTAGACTAAGACCCCCAAATAGTGAGAACCAGAGGGCCCCAAGGTGGAAACGAGGCCTGGTTCCTTACCATGTCTCACTCCCAGTATGAAGGGGACAATATGACCGAACCAAGGCGTGAAAGAAGAGGCCTGCTCCAGGCCACAGAGGACCTGCCAGTACTGGGAGCAGGGGTTCGGTCTCCCACCCTGACCCCACCCTACATCAGCCTCCTGGACCCCTCTGGGTACCACCAAGTTGTGGCCATTTCCTCCGAGGTAGACAGGATTTCCCCACAGGGGTGATGCCAGGGGCCTGAATTGATGGACTAAAGTGAGTGGTATCTTTTCCACTGGTACCCAGTTGCCCATTAGCTGCCTCACCTGGACACTGGAGGTCATAACACACCCTTCTTGTGGGCCAACAAAGAGAGAGGGATGTGTTGTGACTGTCACAGTGCCAGCTATGAGTAGTCATTAGGACAAGTCATTCTAGATGCCCAGTCCTCAGCTTCTCCACCTTTGAGATGGGAGAGTGCTGGGTTAGTGACCAGCATTCTGTGGCTACTGATTGCTCTGCACTCCGTTCTGCCCAGGGCTGGAAGCAGGCAGCAGGCCTCCATCCCATGTGCTCTGTGAGCAGCACTGTGCTGATATATGCCATTCTTGACCCTCCCAGCTTGCCACAGGGAAACAAGCCAGAGAAAGTAGTGACTAGACCAAGGTCACATAGCTGAGACACACAGAGCCTGGATCTAGCCCCAGGTGGTTGATTCAAGAGCCATAGGGCTGGGAAGACACCTGGAGCACCAGGGAGACAACAGAAGGGGGACCAAGATCCCAAGTAGAAAGCCCCTTGGCCACTGGGGCAGACACTGGAGGCATATCACCCAGGAAATCTCACACTCTTTGGTGGGCCTAGGCTGGCTTATCCTAGGCCATGGAATCAGGAAGTAGGGGATCTGGGCTGTGGCCAACACAGGGCTTGGGGTAGGGGATGTGGGCAGAGCTATGACTGGGAGCTGAGGTGGTGCAGGCTGTGAGGATGCCGAGGTTTAAGATTCCAGTGTAGGGCTGAGCTGAAAGAGCAGCAGGAGGCCACAAGCTAGGTTGGCTGGGAGAAAGGAAGGGTAGCAACCCTCTGCAGAAGGGGCTGAGCTCACCTCAGACGACCCAGAAACTCACAGCTGAGGATGAGTATCCTCAGCTCCCCGCACTGCAGTCACTCAGTATCCCCTACTCCCCCCCTTCCCTGACTTATGCACTTCCTTTCTCTCATCCTTCCCTCTTCTTTCCCACTCCCCCTGCAATAGCTGGGGCCAGGACAGTGAGGGGGCTGTAGCCAGGCTCTATCTGGTGTCTCAGAGATGGAGCTGGTGCAGAAAAGGGGCTCCATAAATTTGCTGGACAAGCAGAAGCCACAGTGGGCTCTGGGGGTGCTGGTAGGGAGAGAAAAGCTTCCAGGGAGGAGAGGCCTCTGCAAGGGGAGGGGACCACTGAGGGCCAGGTGCCTCTCAATCACATCTTCCCTTCCTCCTGCACCCCCACACTTAGAGAAGCCCACCTCTTTAGGCCTCACCTGTGAAATTGGGTGACAGACAGGAGGGTGAGTCACCAAGTCATTTCCTGCTCATCCTCCAGCTAGGAACTAAAGTGTGAGAGACATGGTAAAAGTTAACATTTATTGAGTACCTACTGAATGCAGGGTGTGGTGGTTTATGTGTATTGCCCAGTTAGTTGTTAATTAAGTGGGCCATGTTTAATTATATGCCCATTTCATGGATGGAGAAACCCAGGAGGTCATGAAAGCTCAGAACCCTCGGGAGGATGAGGCTGGGGAGATGGCCTGTGTCTTGAGGACCTGTGTGTTTAAATGAGAGCTCACTGGGCAAAGAAAGGGACTGAAAGTGGGGCTTGGGATCCTGGAGATGAGGAGGGTGTCAGTGAGCTCAGGAAGGAGGCCCCTCCATCCTGGCTGCTCTCCTGGCCTGCCTGTCCCACACCTGACACTCTCCCATAGGACAGCGTGTGAGGGGGCTGCAGCCAGTGTGTGTCCTGTAGAGGACACACACTGGACGATACGGAAGCAGGAACTGGGCAGCAGAGAGGTGGATTGACCTCCTGTCTTGCCCTGGGCTGACAGCATGGAGAACCCTGGCTGCAGGGGGCCGACTCACTCGACAGCAAGGAAAGGAAGTGAAGCTTTTTATAACCAGGGATAATTAATTGGTTGTTGTCTGTGACTCATTACTCCAATACTGCCAATTAAGGACTTGGTAGGACAGAAGACTGTTCTCAGGCCATCCCCATAAGGCCTCCTGAGGCCTGTGTGTCTGCGAGAGGCAGCACAGTGTCCCTGTAGCAAGAGGAATATAGGTCAGAGGCACAGAGGAACTTCCCACCTAGCAACAGTAAAGGAGCAGATTAAGATAGTCAGCATACTCTGTTATGATCTTAATTGATCCCCTCCGTCTTATAGGTGGAGCTCCAAAAAGAAGCTTTTATTTATTCAAGCCAAGGGGTAAAGTCACAGCCTGCACTGCTCCCTGCTTGTACCCCCAGCCTGTGCTGTTCCCACTCAATTCTAGGATGCACTGGTGGCTTATTCAATCAACAGACTTATTGTGGTACATGCTCTGTGGTCACAGGTGTATTAGACAGGTCTGGTTCTCCACTCTCTTGAAGGCTCTCAGGCTGGCAGGGAAGCAGACATGTATGAACACACCCACACCACCTAGGGTGATCATTGATAGGCCCAGGGGAAAAATGAGTGTTAGCGCCATATCCCCAGAGTGGGACTATCCAAGGTAGGATATCTGTGTACCAGAGCCTTGTGTTTGGGAACAGAAAGCAATTGAGGTCCAGTGTGGTCGAATGTGAGGAGAAGAAAGGTGTTGCCAGGGGAGTGCTGAGCCTTGCAGCTGTGCCGAACAGCCTGGACTTCAGCCTGGCTGGTGGACAACAGGGTCAGACCCTGGGGTTACATCATGGAGAATGCTCTGAGAACCCTTGAGTGAAGATGGGGAGGGCTAGGGAGCCAGAAGAGAGAGGCGAAGGCCTCCAGGGAGAGGGTCACTGAGAGATATAGGCAAGGGGAGGGATTCCAGACACCTAGAAGGTATACACACTGCCTTTGGTGGAGACTGAAAAAAAAAGAAGGCTCAGCCTGGGTAGATGGAAGCCATTCTGGGAGATGGCCGACCATGCTCTGCCTAGAAAGAGCACAGTGGGAATGAGCAGACCAAGATCAACCTCCCCAGTCCCAGTTGCTCCTTCCTATGATGGGATATGATGGGAGCCCTTCCTGCCACAGCAGGAAGACACCTGCTGGAGAGAAGTCCATCCCCACCTCCTCTGCCCCTGCCCTCCACACCTCCTCACCAACCATGCCAAGCTTCTCCCTGTTCCCAGGTCACTCACTCTGCACAGCACCTGTGGCTTTGCTCCTGCCTTCCCTCTGTCCTCTGCCTCTTAACTCAATACAGATGCCCCCAGCTCTCTTTCCTACTCCTCCCCTTCCTGTCTTTCTTTCCTGGGCTCCCGCAGCACCTTAGGCCAGTGCTGGCCATGAGGATTGTGATTTTTTGTGTCTCTCACTGGACTCTTACGTGTTCTAAGGCAGGGCCTTGGCCCTACACACTACAGGGCTGTGCTGGTTCAGGTTTGGCAGGGTTGCTGAGTGAGCCACAGGAAGAATGAAGGAGTGGGTGAGGTGAATAGTGAATGAGGATGCTGCTTAGGGAACGTGCCTGCATCTTGCTGACTGCAGTGGGGAGATGGAATCCCAGGAGCTCTCAGGTGCTGGGGATTCTGGAGAAGGCAGGCAAGCAGTGTGCATGGGTGCATGCTGCATCTTGGCCCTGCCTCCTGGGCCCCTGGCTGTGGAGGATGCTGACTCAGCCCGTGGGACTGTCCAGGCCACCTGTGGAGCTAGGATTGGGCACTGCAGGTGAGCAAGAGGGAAGGGAAATGGAGTTCCCCCCGCTTCCTGTCCTGTCAACCATGTGGATTGGCATGATAAAGAAGCCCTTTTAAAGTGGTCTCCAGGGTGTGATTGGATTCAGCTACATGCTGCAGGCCAAGGAGCTACAACCTAAATTCTGCCCCGTCTTCACCCAAGAGTGATTTCGACCTCCAGCAAGGCCCAGACCCTCTCAGCTTCAGCTTGCAGGTTAAATGGAGGCACAGACCCTTG